CCCACACCTTCGTCTCCCATTCTAGAGACATATCCCATGAAATGCATCATATCTTGAGGCTAAATGGAATAATCTGGAAAAGAGTCTCACCTGGTCGAGAGTCGATTTCCTTTTGAAGGGTCTCCTGAATCGTGGTCAAAGTCACGGAACCCCCAAATTTAACCCCAGTATCCCGAACCTGCACTTGGTGCAGTTCTTGTACTGCCGTCGGACTGATCATCACGGGATACTTGCAATCCTTGAACTTGATCTCCAGAGCTAATGGATGGATCATACACTACTGTATCATTCCGTTCAATTAAATTCGATAATCATTGTTCTCGTGCTTACCGACTTCCGTATTGCCATGAACTATCCTGGCCTCTGGAAAAGTGGCTTTCAATCTTAGCATTTCGTCCAGGGATGCCGGTCGATACCACGTCACGCGAGTTCCTTTAAATACAAGGCTGTCAGCCTCGTACTTATGATTCAGCTTTTGTTCGAAAAGAGATTTCCAGATGAAAGTAAGTTCTCATGGGTATAACTATTTCTTAGAAAATTCCAGCTCCGTCAATAAGTTCTCGGCCTCCCGCACAATCACGCATAGATTTCATTTTATCATCAATTTTCAAATTAATGACCATCACGCTCAATGACTCCCTCCCAGCAATCACGCAACGTTCTAATACTGCATTCGTAAAATATTTTACTGTGCTTTTAAACCATTCTGGCACAGCCAACTTAATAATAGCAATCTCTCTTCATAATAATAAGATAATAGTCAGTCGGAGCCATTTCCAGACAATACACTTTATACATAGCCCCGAATGACTATTTTTTGCATGAAAATCTTAAAAAGGACCTCTGAGGAAGGCGTTTTTGGAAAGACGGTGAGCTGAATTCAGCCGTGCAAAAATGGTTTGACAGGAAAGACAAATAATATACTATTCCTGTATTAGCATTTTGCGTGATCATTGGGAGCGAGTCATTGAGCACGATGATCATTACAGTATTTGATAACAAAATACGTGTGCGTTTGGTTTGCGGTTGAGGCTGAGAACCTATTGAAAGACCTGGTATCATACTCATTTGAACGCAACATGCCTGAAGTTCGGGAGGGAAAATTGGTTCTTGAGTAGGATCGTAAGGGACGAGGTGACCTGGTTGAACGAGTCGAGAATGCTCCTCCTCCTCAAGTGTCGTGGTGTCAGCGCTATTCATACATGGGCATTCTCCTCCATTCTCGCCTTTGCAGCATTGGAACTCTGACGTGAAGGTCTTGAGCCCGTCGATTATCGGTCTGTATCCCGTACACCGACAAAGGTTCCCTATAAGAATTTGGAATTTATATAAAAGTGCAATAGAAGTTGCTGGAAACGCAAACAAAAACATGATTCAAAGCTATTGGATGATACAAATTTAAAAGTTTACATAGGTCATAAAATAGCTGATAGATGGCGGTAGTAAACATACTGCAGAGGTTTTGGCGCTGATTTATATACGCAGCTTTCATCTCTTGCATTTTCGGATACGGTATACTTTATACATGAAAACTTTATATCAGTGATGAGCAACCTTTTTTTTACTGCGGGCCGCAAGTGAAACTTTTAAGTTACCAGCGGGCCGCATCTATTTCCCCCCCTCCCCCCCCCCCCCACTGAATTACAGGTTTTATGCCTGCTGAGTACCATAATAAGCCTGACTTATTAAACCCGGTACTAAAATAGTAGATGCTAATTACATGCAAATAACTAATTTAGAATTTTTCTCACATTTTTATTGAGCGAAATACCAAGCAAACCGCTTGCTCAGAGAGCAGTAATACATTGACCAAGAAGAAAGTGAAGGGATATTTGCAACTGTGGCGGAAATATAGATTTTATGCTTAAAAAAATTTCTTGCTTCCGTTTCTCCAGTAGCGGGCAACGGAATCCTGGATCGCACGAGCGCTCTACTCCGGGTGGCAAGTGACAGGGAAAAAAAAATTCAGTAGACGAAGCCCCGCGGGCCGCACACTAGGACCTCGAAGGCCACATGCGGCCCGCGGGCGGCGGGTTTCTCATCACTGCTTTATATGGTATTTACAAGTCTTAATTTGTCGATGCACGAAACAAATCTCTAAAGATAATTGAGACAGCTGGGTAAGAAAAAGAAAGAGCCAAATCGGGCAAACCTTGAAGATATTCGTCCATGTCATGGACGGAGGGCTTCAGATTATTTCTCAGCAGAGTGTACATGGACATGACGATGCCCGGTGTGCAGAACCCGCATTGAGACCCATGGAATTTGGCCAGTCTCTCTTGGACGGCGTGGAGGCCCCGTCTGGAGTTACCGATCCCCTCCACGGTCGTGACGGCCAATCCGTGACATCCCGCCACTGGCATCAGGCACGCGTTCACTGAATAGTGGCTGCACGTTAAATGGGTCTCCAATTAAGTTAGGCCGACGAATGCTCTTTCTTTCGACTAGCACGGGAATATGTCCAAAACCCCACGGCGGCTTCTCCAATCGCGTTACCTATCATTCCATTCTATGTTAACTTTCATTTGCTTGAATATCTACTAGTTGCTCACTGCGTTACAAGTTTTTTTTTATGAATAACTTTGACTGCGAATCGATTGTGTCGAACCTTTTTGAAATTTTTTTTATCTTGCATGTCGAGATCTCTCTAATGGTACCCGTGACGTCAGTGGACGGGACTGGACATTTCTTGGTTTGTTCCTTTGTTAGCTTCCTTGCCTTGATTTTTTCATACTATCAAGCTTCGGGAAATGCGAGCTGTTTGATACTGATGAAAATCAATTAATTACATTATTCCTAACAGCTGACGTTTTTGAAGAAGCGACGAAGAGAGAATAGGAAACAAAGTATAAATGTGGATTAAAAAAATTACGGCCCATAATTTCCCCGTTTCCTTCTATCATCGGCAAAGTGCTTTTGAGGTTAGGTGCTTCAGTTTGCCATTGGTGCTATCACCCATTAACTTTATCATTTTGTCTCAAGAGGATAGGCGCACGAGAGATTAGAAAATGGCGGTACTATTGGAGACATGCACCAAAATTGAATAGCGAACTGTTATTCATTTTCTATGGTCCGAGGGATCCAATGCTACCGAAATATACAGGATGAAGACAACTCCTGATCGTTATCGGTGCAACTGACATTCGTCGGTTGTCCAAGATCTAGTTGTCTCAAGAGCAGCCTGGCTGCTCATCGAAGTGCTGTTTCTGCCTTGTCTCTCGGTCTTTCACACTTGTTCTAATGTTAAAGAACGTTTGTACCGACTTGCGTCCCTTCCGTTCGTTCATACACTTGCTCCCATACTTCCATACTCTTCTATGAATTTCGGCAGAGGAGGAAGCCTCGAGGCACAATCTTACAAAAAATAAAACTTCAAACATTGATAGAGGCGACATAGAGGAACAATTACCTACATTTTCATTTAATCTCCATTTGCAGCTAAACATTTGAGCTACTTCTCAACTCAATGTTCTGAGTTGAGAGGCCCAGGGTTTCCAAAACCGTTGAGGTAAAAAAATTAAGCATTGAAATTGCCTTGTGACAGACTCGCACTATGTGGTCAGAGGAATAATACTTAAGGCACTTGTTTCGATAAGTCCCCGGTAGAAGATAAATCCCCCACGAAGGTCGGTCAGAAAGGATAAGTGGGAAGAGAGAAGAGAAGAGGATAACCTGATGGATCCGGTTGAATGATGGTATTTGGAGAGCATGACTGTACAGGCGCCGCATCCACCTTCTCCGCATGCCAGTTTCGTGCCTCGGAGCCCCACTGCCTCGCCCAAGCGCGAGAGAAATGTCAAGGTCAATCCGTAACTGGGATAAGTGGCATTGACGGTCTTCTCATCATGGTCGACCGTGGCTTCCCTAACTTCTGAGCTAATTCCTGCGTGTCACCCTTTGCTTCAGAGAACAGGAGAAATGCAAGGCCTCTGATTCTGCTCAGTTTCATTCAACAAGTTACGGAAAGCTACGAGTCTGAGTTTATACGAAGTTTATGATGCAATTTCATTTATGATGAAACTGGTTATGCAAGAGCCTGGTTATACGAGGGGCAGTCAAATGAAAACGGGACATTTTCGCTTGTTGCTCAATTCACCACATGTCCCATTTTCATCTGACTACCCCTCATATAAGCGAAGTGCATGTAAGAACATTATATATGATCAATATTGGGACGAAGCTGATCATGTATGCGTAAATTCCTAACATAAATAGTTAGATAGACTTTTTTTAAAAAAGAAATCTGCCTCGCAATTTTTTTTTCTCGGTAACACCATAAAAGGTATGGAGAAAAAAGCGCATGACTGAGTGAAATTCACGAATAAAAAAGGATACGCTTCCTCCTGAGGTAATCCATTAGACTGAACTCAGGTTCAAAATCATCGTCCTCGACCTAAAATGCGAACGATAGCCGATGTAGATGAAATTCCGAAATGAAAGTCCTTCCCAAGAGAATGAATTTTCTTTGAAGGGACTCACCCTGACTCCATTGACGTAGAAGACGAGGGTATTCATGGTTCCGTTCAAGGGTTTTCTTTCCAGATGAAGCGAGCAGCGCAGCTCCGAGTTGACGATGAACGAGAATGAAGCAGGGAAGGGAGAGTCAGGAACTCATTCACTGATGGAGATGGCCTGGGGCGCGGGTGCGTCGAGCCTCCTGAGCTTGGGGGAAAGGGGGGGGGGGGGGGGCGAATAAAGGAACATCTCCAAGGAGGGAGATGAGTTCAAACGTGATTAAAAGGGTTTTGTCGAGATGAGGACTATCGGAAGTCGGACTGAGATGAGGTCGACCGGAAATCAATGCCGTCTATTCATATTTTTCAAAGAACCATATAAGAAATGAAGTAGAGGAATACCTGTCCCGCACTTTCACACTCCTGTTCGCGCACGTCGGTTTCACAATTCTTCCCACCATTAAAACTTAGAAGGTTCGGATGTGATGCCTGATGTGATACCTTCGTCAACACGTGTCGAACTAGTTGCGATGGCGACCGTCATCTCCCCCCCAACCTCCCCCTCCATCCCATGCCTGTGACGGCAGAAACGAACGAGATCAATCATTAATGACATTGTATAGGTTTTTTTTAATATGGAAAGGATGGATCCATTGCCAAGGTGCTTTTACGCAACCGCTTGACTCAAGGACAGACGATTTCACACGCGATTTGGTCCAAGCTCACTCACGCAAACAAAAATTACGTGTGAGATAGGAGGGGGAGGAAGAAGGGGGGAGATAATTTGAAAACCTGAAGCTTACTCAATCGGGAAACTTTCTATAAGGTAGCAGTTATCGTCAGTTGACCATAGCGGAGAATGGGTAATTGAACTAGTAGGCGGTGGGGTATTTATAAGAAGGCGGTAGGTGGAGCCGTGCTGACACCTTCAGTCCCATTCATGCTTTTTACTTTTTTTACTTTTTTTTAGTTCGAGCTCGGGGTGGGGAAATAGTTAGTTGCAACGAGCACGATGGTCACTGTTCCGTTAATGCAAATGCTCATCCAGTTTCAGGGAATTGGGCAGTCTCATAATGTTCACGGCACACAATTCCACATCATTGACATGGGCAGCGAAACAGGAGAGAAGTCGGCTGGAATCTCGAAAGCCTTCTCGAGAAGGCTTCCCTGGAAACCACCCCGAGAACTCCCGTCTCCTGTGAAAGGGTTGCGTTCTCGTTTGAGACGGTATTCACGTGGTAATTGGAGATGCCACATGATGATGACGACTGCCACCTCGAAGGAAAAACTCCATCTTATTCAATTGGGTGTTTTTAATTACACAAGGTAATAGTAACTCTACTGAGGCAAAGAAAATAAGTAATTTCTGGGAATTGTAACCTCAAAACTTTCAGGCATTTGCCACTCTGAAGTAGTGAATGGAGTTTTTTTGCCGAGGGCATAAAGTGTCTACATATTTTTGGCATTTTTTTTTAGCACGAGTTGGATGCTTTCTATAGGTTCTGGTATCCAGAACTGGAAACATGCTTGCAAAGGATTCGCACTAATTAGCTGCCTTTCTGCCGTCAAGGATCCCTTAATCTTACCTGTAAACTTGTCTGAGAGATCCATTAGACTTCTTGGGGACACAAACATCCATAAAGCCCTGCCGTAATGTGTTAAAGACCCGCCATTGCTCCTCTACCACCACGCTATCTTCCTTCCCAATCGATGTCCGAAACGCATTCACCTAGCCTATCGAAATTAACTTTCCTGAGAACCTGAACATTGAGCGCCAGATCGTCGTCCACCGCAAAAAAACTGAGTTTAAATCCAACAAGGCTTACTTCCAAGTCAGTTCTTGAAGTGCTGTGTGAAGAGAGCATCCTGGATTGCAACAAGAAATTCCCATTCCCTCTCGCTCTCCTCTTGCGGCACCGTCCAATCTATGTAAGGGGTGTTAATGACTTAGAAGAGCAATTCTTCTCGCTGATACTTTGGATCAGTGCAAAAAACGCCACGTCATCCTGACGGGAGGTATTTGGCTGCCTATTCGCTAGGTACAATAACACTAGATGATGCACTTTTAAATATGGCGCCGCCCATGATTGGGGGGGAGTCGAACAAAAGGAAGGGGGACAAGCCATGTCTTCACAGATTTGCACAATCCTTCTTCACATGGGGATCCTCCCGATTTCTTCTCAAAACTTGAGAGCCACGAAATAGATAAAGGGAGCTTCTAGTGGAAGTAAAACATGTAAATGCAAAAGAGTTGAGGGATGTGCAAACCCTAGTTCAATCCTTAATCGAACTTCACCTTCAAAGAAGGTGCAGGTTTTCCTCAAAGCCACTCGCCAATGCAAGGATTTCCATGGAATTACGGGCCTCAGTAATGTACACGATTTGAGTGGGACACTACTTATATATTCCAGTTTCTTATGGAATTCACTACAACAGGAAACTGCTTGGTACTTGAAGTCCCATTGCTTCCGTATTCTCTTAGGAGCTGCTAGGTTTTAAATCAGTTGTGCTTCGTGGGCTAAATCATAACCCATGGCTGGACTCCTTTTCAGTTGTTTTCTCAAGAAATAACTTATCGCGTCAAGGATCAATGTTATCTATATATCTCGTGACTGCAAATACAAAGTTTGCTTTTCACAGGCCCATGGAGAGAGAAGGCCTAGACTGAAAGAAACTTGATGACAGGCCATTCAAGCCGCCTGGATGCTTCAAGTAGAAACTTCAGACCATCGATTACTTGCTACATAATCATTCTTGGCCTAAGTAAATCCCTCTGGCAAAAAAAAAGAAGCATTTTCGTCGTAAAAAACAGTCTCTATCTGCATGTTTCCGTAAGAAATGCATTGAAGCTTGCGTGCTTGACTCCTCCCAGCACATTTTTTATTCTTCCTGCCACCAGATGTCCCCACCTTAATGCACCCAGCGAATGGTAAATTCCAAACAAGATCCTCCGTGCTGCCACCACGATCTTGCACCATGAGTATTCGATCGAACTGCGGTTAACCGAAGTGAGTTCCTCCCTAAATACGAATGCCTAGTTCGTATCTAGGATATAAGATTATTCCTCCACCCTTTCTGAGGAGCCTATCCTTATGCAATACGCCATACTCTTGAATCTAAATGTATTATCTGAGACGTCAGAGCTACCATAATTCTGAGTTATTCCGATGACATTCAAACTGCTAACAAGAACCCTCACTCAAAGCTCATCCGTTTCATTGCGCAAGCTGCGTGCATTTGTGTAAAAATAAAAACTTCAAACGATGACTTCCCTGCCCTGCGTACTAGAACGAGAAGGCCTTCAGCTACTTGTAGTGGCTTTCCCTTGCTCGTAAGCACTTGCCCTCGATCTACAACCCTAAAAAGGAATCCATTTCCTTCATGATAGCTAACCAGACTGCTCTAGCACCCTCTTTCGAGTAATGAACCCCATCCCTAGCCACCAGACTTTTGCAACGCCACAGAGCCGCCCTAGTGTCCAGAAACGCCGCCCCGCTCCCCGCTATACACAACTCCTCAATGTCATTAACCCCTTCCGACCTCGACCACTTCATTCCTCCCTTATCAAGTCGGCTTGGGATGGCGCATACCGTCACCTCACACCCGACCTTGTCGCACGACACGTCCTAGTCACCTGCCTGAACTTGGCCATGTGATTTCAGAGCCAGATCGTTGGGCCCATCATGAAGGACCACCGACACCTCCTCAACTGACTCCGAGGACACCACCGACCCTGTTTCGTCCCTAACATGCTCAATCCCTGCACCGGGAAACAGACTGAAAGGAACCTGAGCTCCCGAATCTTTTCCCATCTCCGCCTCAAGACGCCTGAAGTTTAAGTTACCGACGATGAATACGGATCTCTTTTCTCCTTGTCCCTTCACCACAGCCTGACCTCGTATTAGTCTTGGTCAATTTGCCCTAAGAATCCCAAATACTCTGGAAACGGATGGATGGATATTTGATTAGGGTGTTCATCTCTATGAGTGTTTTCATATCTCTACATCTCCAGGGAAAATTGCCATAAGAAGTTCATGAATATCAAATTCTTTTTGCCCTGATTATGTGGTCATGGATTAGGCCCTAAGGGAAAAACCCTTAAATATCCTGTATGGTCACCTTTGTTTTGGCATGGTAAGTGTACCTACCTTTCTGAACTGAATTAATTTCCTTTTAGTTCTCCTGGGGGGGCAGTACTTTTTGCTGCGGCTTCGTTCCCTTTGCTATGGTACTGATTGCTTTTTTGCATTGTGGTCATGAAGCTGTCTTTCAACTCCAGTCGAACAATATGGGTAATCATGATTCGCACTATAATAAATATAGTGAAATTGTTGTGATAACTGTTTGTATTTCATTGAGTAACAGGAGGGTAATGAGAGCAAATACTTGCATTTCCTTAGATTTCACGTCATCAAATTCAAAATGAATAAGTGACAAGAAAAAATGGAAAGGAGCAAAAGTAAAAAAAAAAAATTTCACTGGAGCTGACGATGGTCCCCACCAAAACAAAAAAAAGGTAATCAGACTTGGATGCACCAAGGCTTGAAAGTTCCCGGTTCCTCTTCTTTGAACTAAAATATCAAGAACATGAAAAGCAGACCTCGTAGATATTTCATTAGAAAAAAAAAATAGAAAACAGAAATAAAACTCGAATATAATGAAAATTAGTGTGTAAAGGAAAAGGAAAAAGACAACATAGAGTGAAATCTGGAATGAAAAAGGCAGAGCTACGACAGACCTTGTCAGTGAATTGATCCTGGCAGGCCATCCGGATCCTTTCGGCTGTGGCGGGGGAGTCTAGTTTGAAAATCCTCGACAAGTTCCTCTCCTGTCTGGCGGACGCGATGGCTTCCTTCACCGCGAAGAAGATGCTGGCCGACAGGAACAGGGGAGGCTCTCCGATTGCCTGTTCGAGGAAGCTCAGGCATGTAGCAACCAGGAACGGCGTGCAATGTTCAGAATCCATATGGTGCAGTTGAACAATCGAAATTCGGGAAGCGATAGCTCATGACGCTTTTAATAGCTCTCCTAAAAGGGCCTAAGGAACTCGAAAGTGTCACGAGTTTTGGACGAATATTTAAGTCTCATGTCAGTTTCTATCCAATCAGGTTGAAGTTCCGTGGCGTTCCGTGAAGTTCCGAAGTTTACTTGTCAATTACTTTGTTGGATATTTAAATACTTGAAATTTTAATTGCGGTAATTAAAAATATTATTGGCTCAGGATCTAATGACCTTGGAGTTACAACTCCATATATCAATATGCATTGAGCAGACGGTATATAAAGTCGCAGAAAAAAGTATTAAGGAAAATATGCTGTTCATTCAGTCTTGTATTGTAAATATTCAATAATATATTCTGATGGAATTCCCTATAAGCAGGACCACATTGTTTCCTTTGCTTTTACGTGGCCCAGGTTCCTTCTGATCTGTATGTAGTTCTACTCATATATTGTCTGTGCTAGCGGTTGCGTAGATTAAGAAATGAATCTTGAAAGATGGAATGGATGTAGCAATCAAAACAAAGAATAGGACCTTTAAACCATAGTAGTGTGACCACACTATTCAATGTTGCCACGTCGAACGACTGACCATGAAATTCATTAATACAGGTGCTAACGCACTCGTCCCTCGTAATGCAGTGGAGCGCCATCCTGTTCAAAGAGAATGTCGCATCCCAATTCTGCAACGTGTTGCAAGAACGCATTGTTCCACATCAAAATTCAGTTTAGGTACTCTGTAAGAATAAAATAGCTCTTGTGGCGCGAACGCTTTGTCACGTGTGAACGTAAGAATAATGGTAACAAATTCATTAATTACTCTTTACGAAGGTTTCACAGTGCCGTACTGCATTCCGGGAGGAATAGACGAGAAGGATGGAAGCCTTGCCTTGGAGGAGTAGACAGCGTGGACGTTGGGGCTTCCTTTGAGCAGGGAAACGTTAAACTCCTCGGGGATGTCCCCGAATCCAGGTATCTTATAAGTGGAAGGTCCTTGGGTCAAGATCTTTCCCTCGGGTGAGTATACCACTTCCTCAAGGAGAAATAACCCATATCCCTGAATAAAGGCTCCTTCCACCTGTCCGATGTCGATGGCCGGGTTCAGGCTCTCCCCCACGTCCATCACGATATCTGTTCTCAGTACCTAAATCGTGCTTTTGAATTATGTGGTTTCTTCTTCAACGTACAGCTGAAAGCAGTCTTTTTACCTTGTGGTCTCCGGTTAGACAGTCGACCTCCACTTCTGAACAAGCCGCACCATAACAATAATAAGGAAAAGTGTCACCTTGCTTCCAGTTGCTTCCTCCGGCAGTTCTGAACCAAACGAGAAAAAAGGGAATCGAAGCATAAAACATGATGAATGTAATCCGTATCCCAATATTACCAGGAGGATGTAAGGATTCTGAGATTGCCTGACTTAATATATTATACAATATATAACAATAGGAACATGTACTGAAACAAAGACAGTAGACTTGAAGAATGGGAGATATAATTATAAGCGGTATGAGGTCAATTACGCTGGGTCAAAAGATATTGAGGTTTTGAACATTGAGGTTTGGTATCCATAACTGGCTGAGATAAGAACATGAACTGGTCATGATCGGAAGGGGCATTGCTAAAAGTCTCATTGAATGCGCCACCAAAAACGAACCAAGACTAGCAAGTGTAGAGTAAGAGGCAGAGGAACAAGAACGAACCGACAGTATCCAGTGGCAGAGAGACTGACCCGGTTGAAATAGGCGGCCTTCACCCAATCTTCCCAGCTTCCCTTTGGGTTTTCCCTCATGAAGGGTTCCAACCTTTGCTTTAGCGTCTCGCATGCTTCCTGAGAAGAATAGCAACCATAGCTCATAATTGTATCAATGACCTACTTCATCTACGGAGCGAATGAAGGCTAGAAAGGCATACGATGATGGCCGGTCCATTAAGGTCGGACCCCATGGAGGCAGCCGTGGGGCTGGTGTTAGGCACCGTGTCTGTGGAAGTCTCGATCGTATGGAAGTACGACACCGGCAAGCCCAACGCACGGCTTGCTACCTAAATATGCAGTGAATTTGTCATCTTGAGTCTCATCAATGCCAAAATTGTACGCTGTGAAGAAATTAGGTGCCGTATCATTGAACCTTCTTCTCAATCTCTCTCAAGCATCATCATGGTCGTTTGAAATGCTTGGGAAAATGAGGAACACTTTTCCATTGCTACTGGGAGAGTAATCTACAAGTGTACCCACCAATGCCATAGTGGGTATTGCAGTACAAGTGTCGCAAGCTGATCCTGATTTCATCATTAATCATTAAGCATTATCATCAAGAGTCGGAAGACGACTTGTAGTTCATGGTCTGCGCGTTAACCCTATCTCAATGTTTGCGATTATTATCTGTGAAGTGCATTGAAAGGCACGGTGTATGCTAGCAACTCCAATACATTGGAAGAACTGCGAAAATAACATCCGGCAAGATATTTTGGCAATAGTGTTGCGTAGAGCCAGCCCAGACATGTTAAGATGCAGTGAAGTTTGCTTGCAAGCCCAGGGGCAACAGTTCCAGCATCTCTAAACTGGGATCCGATCGGGTACACTTTTCGCCCTTCCGGATTAAGTGACTTTTGGGACTATCTGACCTGGAATTTTGCTACCTTAGCCTGACGCGCGAGGCCTACAAGTCTATGCCTTTCCAGACCGTAGGCTGGGTGGAAGGACAAAGTACGATGCGTTCCAGTATGTCTTCTGATGCGAATGGGTTAAATGACTCACCCGGTATTTTCTTTAACGGGACATGTTGCATGCAAGCCTATGAGTGGCTACAGTGACATTTTTTTCCGGGATTGCACACTCGCATCTCCTACACGAGGGGCATAGAACAGCGTGAATTATCAAGACAAAAGCAAATACTCCCCTGAAAGCAAGTGATTCAGCTGGAAAAGCGCCTGCTGATGGGGAAGATTCACGGGGAAGATGCCCGCCAAGAAGATTCTACTAGGATACTCTTTGTAAGAGAGAAATACACATTTTTACTCATGCTGATCACCTTAAAATTGTTTCTCATACGTATTGTATACTCAATGCATATTTTAAAATTTTTTAAAGGTAGCCTCTATCGTGTGAGCCGTTGTAGTCAGAATTAACGGCTTGACCTGGATCATCTTGGTATGAAGTCCTTGCCCCATCTCCACCCCGCCGTGATTGAGGAGGACGGAGCCGTCGGTGTAGATGTGAACCAGCGCTCCTCCTTGATTCAGGAATCGAATCCCAAAAGAAATCCCATATGCCGTCGGGATCATCGCCAGTCCCCTTTTCTTCCATTGATTCTCTCTGCGTTATCGATCGGATCAATGCCCGGGGGCTTTTAAGACGCACACGAGTTTACACAAGAGACGACAGCCGACCTATTGAATTTCTGGACGAGTCCTCGCCGGTAGAAGAAATCGGAATTCTTGAGACATTCTTCCCAGCATCTTCGAACGGTGCAGTGGGTGAGGATGTTGGTCTGAAGAGTCTGGTCTCCCTCTTTGAACAGGTTCTTCTCTCGCACCTAAAATGCAAAATATTGAAAATGGGACTATGGAAATGTTCCTGCACAAAAAAATAGAACATTGCAAGGCACAACAATACCACGTGTTAAGTGTAGCCTTATAGAATGACATTTAACGCGGGATTGTAAGAATATGTCTTATGGCAGTGATGCAAATCCTGCGGCACGCGGGCCGCATGCGGCCCACGGAGATCTTTTTTGCAGCCCCTTGGATGCCTCCGGTCTCAAAAAATCCATATTTATTTGCGACCCGTTATGGCATATATTCGAGGGCCTTCGGGCCTCTAACAAGAGGCGAAATCTCAATTTTGCCCTTATGGGGAAAAGGTTGTGCACCATTTTCTTATGGTAAGACACGAGAAGACCTTCGCCCAGCAATGGACAGAAAATGGCTTATGATAATGATGTGTATGTATTTTAGTGAAGAATAGTGATTTCCTATACTGTAGAAATTCCTATCCTCATATAACTCTCGTTCATTCTCTCGTGTTAACACGAAAAGTTATAAACTTTTCAGCAGGTTTGCGAGTTGGCTGCGAGTGGGGAAGTGAGGGCTCACATCGCAGTGGGCTGCCCATGTAGCCCCCACATCGGCGCTGGACGGCAGTCAACATTTGTTATGACTCAGGATCTATCTCAATAGGATGAGACATCTATCTCAATTATTTCAACAAAAAGCTTCTCACAGATTACGCGAGATGGCGGGGATGTAGTATGTATGGCGGGTATGTACTTCAGTGGGAGCAGAGTCAGACTCCTTAATTTAGGACTGCAGTACCTTTCATGCGGTACTTATTCTATTCCCATAGAGAACGTAAGGAAGACACTGGAATTTCTCTATTCATTTGTTTAAACAGGTTAAGCAGTCCGAGGAGACTCCTGTTAATCGCTGAGGATTATCATGGTTCAAATTGGGGCTTCATTCAATAGGGTGAGGATGAAAATTGTCAGCTGATCTTGGGGAGGCAGCGTCTGGCTCCCCTTCAAGGATAGGTTCAGGTGGGATAAAAGAGATGATCTCCCGAGACTTGCCGGACAAGCACTTCTAGAACGGGTGAAGTGCCTGAATGATGGGTGAAGTTACAATGAGGCTCAAATCCCGTACGAGAAGCGAAGAGAGAGACTCGGAGACTCGGTGGCAAGGTCTCCTATAGGGGAGCTGACCAATTATGAACAAGTATAAAATCTCACTTGAAACCTCATTTAATCACCTGAATGTCGGCATTTGACGTTGGCCCAACGTGGTACTGCGGGACAAGCCTACGAGGAACCAACGTTGGGAACCAACGTTGACCCCATATCGCAAATGTGGAATTCTAGCATGGGCCCAACGTCAGCCCAACGTAGGTGTGCTGCCGGGGATATGAACCATAAAAGCTGATCTAAAGCAAGAAGGAGTATATAGTACAGATCAGATCAACGTACAGGTCAGCAGCAGCATTGAGATCAGCAAAAAATTCTCCGACAACAATAGAGGAACATGAAGCACATAGAGCAAATGCTTAAGGCTGAGTTCCTCAATGTCGATTATCAATAGATCAACCATCACAGGACATCATTGAATGCCCTGAACACAATATATGACCGTTTCAGATTGTTATCATTGACAATGCTCACCAGCCTTGCCAGCAAACGATGCTTTTTTTTCTTGAGTTTCTTTTACATGGATTTTTGTAAAGCTTTGCGACAGTCTCGATTGTCGTTGATTTTTTAAATTTTGGAAACAAAACAAGAAAACTTCTGCATTCGCTCGAACGAACCATGACAGGGTCCAAGCGGAGGAGCTCGGCGACATCCTGCATCCACTGCTCGCATATCATCATGGCCTGGGGTGACCCGAACCCCCGGAAAGCCGTGTTCGAGGAAATGTTAGTCTTGCATACGTAGCCTCTGACTCTCACATTCGGTATACGGTAGGCATTTGTTGCGCCACACATGGCTTTAATCATCACCTTCAGTGGGAAAGAAAGAAAAATCTGTTGAAACCTTTTCTTTTATAAATAAAATACAGTACCATGTTCTTATTTTAAATAATTTTTTGTTTAAACATTACGAGCAGAGTTGATGGATGACAAACATATATATAGCACGGAATGAAGGCAATGAACACAATTGAATCAAATGATTATGACATGTGGTCATATTGCGACAACCTACGTCGTAAATATCCATTTCCTTTCTATGACATCAATTGACATCAAATTATATGGCTAAATTTGTGAATTTATGGAAGGACTAAACAGAGTTTTAAAAAGTTTTATTATTGACCATTGACCCAGTCTAAGTGGCAAGCGATGTTTTACTCACATTCCCAAGTCACGTGGACGCTGAGTGTTGCATTGTTGGATTATTTCAACAACTGTCTAACTTTTTCAATTACAAAAAATCAGTAATCAAGTGTAGGTCGCGATTTAAGCCATGAGAGAAATCGGTGAATTCCGTATGCAATAAAGGGCCCGAATGGAACTTGGTGGTCACATATGCCCATTTGAGTACGTGAACGAACAATAGAAATCATACTAAATCCTTGAAATTCGTGGCAATGTAAAAGAGAAATGCATTAAAATACAGTGAAGTCCGATGAAAGCATATACAGGTAATGCAATTGGGAACAAAGAAGGACAAATCAGTTGCAGTGATGGAGTCGATCAACTGTTTTTAAAAAAAAAGGATAACGAATAATTATTAATTAAACTTTTTAATCATTAAACGCTTCTTACCGGATAATTCGAAACTCACGTATTGGGAAAGGTCGAGGCTGTAACCAGCGTTGGCGTACATGGTGACGTCGAGAGCAAGTACCCTCCCGTCGGGGGTGAAGCCGACCTTGTATCTGCCCAGGAAAGGATTGCGTCCTCCGGTGGAGGTCATGTCCGCGTCTCTGTCCAGGACACATCGTACCGATCGACCGAATCTGGAACCGAACCGAACTCTGTCGTACTCCACAGGAAGGCTACTTCGCGGGTTTTCATTCGAAAATCTGACGGGAAAGTATTATTTCGATGGAAATTTGACAATGAAAAGGTATTCCTGGCCTTGTCATGTTTCTTCGGCACGTTTCTCTGGTAAATTTAAACCGTAGGATGCTGGTAAAAGGAAATGCAAGGTTAAATTCGGTAATGCTGTTGGTCAATCTGCATGAATGTAGAGGGGGGGGGGGGGGAATCGTGAATCGCGAATGACGTCCGAAAAAAAATCGAGGTAGTCCTAGCCCTAAGATTGTACCAAGGAGATAGGCCAAATGAACGGACTTCCGAGCGGCAACAGCAGCAGGAATGGCGTGAATGACACTCCTAGTCTCTTTCCCTCCAAATCCACCGCCGATTCTCTTCACCTTGCATGTCACCCGGTTGTATTGTATGCCCAGGGCTTCTGCAACAGCTTCTTGCGCATACGACGGTTCCTGTAATAGTAACAAGAGATGATAACAATGAACCAAAGATAATTTTTCTGGATTCTATCAGCCTGGAACTATAGATCTTTTCTTGTTATGAAATAGTTCTCTGAATGTAAATAATGCACTTTTGTCCTTTTTATTATTACTTGCCTTTATCACAAGCCAAACAACTACTATTTTTTCAATTCTATTAGCTGTTACCCGTGAAATCCCTTACGAAAAATCCACACACGTGGACTACCCTAAGTCCACCGGAGGATTTGGATGAATCAACATGTGATCCACATGTGGATTAAGAGGATCCACATAGAGTCCACACGGGGATAGTCTTATGTCCACATTAGTCCCCCTGTGGACTTGTCCACATCAAGTTCACACTATTCCACGGGATATTCACTTTCACGATGAGCCTCCCAATTGAGGCTCATCGACTTCCATCCAATAGCATTCGAATGATAAATTTTAAAGGAATTTCATCAAATTCTTTTTAAATGAGACACACCGTACTAATTTGGAACTGCCGCGCCTTAGATAATGGCTGAGGTGTCCCATCTTCAGAGACCCACCAAGTGCCTGCTCGCAAATTTTCAGCGACTTCCTCAATTAGTATTCAAGTCAGACGCCTCCTTCAAACTTAGAACGCACAAGTACTGTATGATGAATAGGGGATGAATTCCGTCAACAAAAGTATGTTGCTTGCCTATGCGCCGATTCGCAGCAAGCTCCGTCTAATGGCATTCAAATGAGACTCATTTGAATTTTTAACACCCAAATGAATGGAATGATGGTTCTCAATCTGTGGTCCGCGGACCAATGAACACACGGATCTTCTATGGGAGTAAAAGGGAGTTTGAGAACCACTTCTTTAGGTGACAGAGACCTTCAGCACTGTAACCTGGAACTCTGGACCGACCCAACCCGCGGATCGGGCATGTAACCTTCTTTTCTATCGAATTTCGGGTCGAGTCGGCAAAAATCTACCCGCACAGGTCTCCGACTGGAAGACGAACAATCGTCTGCTAGTATACAGACAAATCCTATCGCTACGGAAGACAGCAGTGTGCCGTCCACATCCGGTTTGCTCCAGTAAAATCCGACAAAAATGTTGGATGACATAATGGCGGAAATCTTATTTATGGGATAAGTATAACCTTCATATTTGGCATAGCCATTCCTGGAAAGTACAATAAGAGGTTCTCTAAATGTCAACTTTGTGTCTCATGAAGTAAAGGAACGACGAGAGGGGAAGCAGAGAACATTTTGAGAGCCGTAGCAACAATCTCTGGAGCTGAATGTCCGTCCCTGATTGGCTCTTCTAAATAGAGCCATGCACTGCTCTGAATGTCTCGCGCAGAGGGTTCATAAAAATGTTGAAGAGATGCCGAATTGCAATATAAGCAATGGTTCTTATACGTATAAATAATGGAAAACAATGTTGTTTTTTGAGACTGGCTGCAGTCTAGCATTCACTTTTCGCCACACAATTTATTCATCTATAGACTATAGTGCAGGGGTGTGAAACATACGGCCCGCCAACCGATATGAGTTTGACACCCCTGCTATAGTGGATAGCTCCGAACACGGGATTGTTTGGCGGGAGGCCCGGAGCGGATTCCATACCCCCACATACGTTGATGTGTAAAAGACCCATCCCCTTCTCTAAATACCCGATCAGTAAACGAGATAAGTCGATTCCTGCGGTTTTTTCTGTCAAACTTCTGCAGTGAAAACTGCTTCTCTATCGTTCACATTTTGAGAAATTTTCTCAAGTGTTAGGTAGAACGACTTTCTGTTATTTACACTTTACATCAATGCAAAAACTTTTCAGAGAAATGCCTTAACAAGAAATATCAGGCAATTTTTTCCTGACCTTGCGCGCCTCTCGAATATCGTTGCGAGTAACGAACTTTGACTTTCCGTAGCGAAAGGGTTAACACACTTCATCTCTCACCAGGAGATTTGGAAAGTCCAAAGGGGGGAGACGAGAAGGGTACCGATAACTCCAGCACAACTATTTCTCAGCAAGTATTTCATGTCCTGTCATTTGCTCAGTTCGTTCCCTGCCTAAGTTATGACTTTTCTTTTGCTTTCACAAGGCCGGGAATCAGGTATATGTGGTGCATTCAAAAAGTTTTATCCTCGTCTTTATAAATAGAAAATCAACATTGCCACATCATTAAACATCAGATCATATTTCAGAATGGTCTCCGTAATTGTCACCACTCAAATTGCATCTTCAAACCCTCTTTTGAGAAGCAGCAGCAAATTCTTATACTGGGTATATTCATCGTAATGGAAAGTATTTTTACGCAAAAACCTATGAACAGACATAGCCTCCCCTTTATTGTTGTGATAATAGTAAATCAAATTCCAAGAAAAGGTGCTTTAAAATTCGACTCATCAATGAAGGAATAAATTTAATTTATTAATTAATTTTGCATACCTGAGTGGAGGCGTAGATGAGAAATTCATCATGTTCCTGCAATGGTGTGACGATGCAGGACTGGGGTTCCAAATAGAAGTGTTCCTGACCTCCAACTCTGACCTGGCCTTCGAGGACGTGAGGGGCCTGGGACAGAGCTTCATCCACGTTGCCGATCTCCGTCCAGTCCTCCCAAAAAAATTCTTGCTCCTTTATCGCTTCCTACACAATGCCAAGCTCTTCCGGTTTCATTCATCCATGAGATTTCCAGTCTCATGATGCTATACAGTATACTGTATATATGGATAAGTGCATAGGGGGATAAGTGCATAGCATTGAGGGGGGAATACTTTGAAGGGGACATTAATTGTGTCCTGCACTGACAGATTGGAGCGATGCCCATATTGCTTCTGCTACTTTCAGGCCTTGGCCTGGAGGCACATTAGGCCAATAATACCCGACCCAACCCCGACGAACGGGATAAGCTAGTCTTTAGGACTGATACCAAAACGGTATGAGATAGAGCCCAGTCCCTGAACATGCTCAAATGCACCGAGTCTGTGATGTAGTCGCATCAGAGCCGCACATCCGAGCTGAATACATGGAAGCTCCTGGAACCTGAAACTTTTACGACCAAATTGCAGAGAAATTACCCTCTCCAGGAGAATATTTAAGATAATTCTTGCAATGTTGAGCAAATAGGTCGAAAAGACTTTGAAGAAAATCCTTACTACTTTGCGTCCAGCAGTTCATGGTTTGCATGGCCATGTAAGTTGACTGCGGTGCTGTTTTTGGTCTTGGCTATTTTCGGGGTGGTGGATGGTGTGTTGGCTATAGTCCCCAGTGATGAAGGAACAATTTTATGTCCTCTTTTTCCTGGGCTAGAGGCCAGGCATATCCTGCCTGTTGCCATGGGGTAGCTTTGACTGAGAGGGGCATCACGGTTCTACTTTTATTCAATCTGTAGGCACGCCTTGAATGAGAGCAATTTCACTGCCCATTCAGCTATTTGCTAATTTAGCTTGCAGATATGGGATGAAGCTTAAGGGAGCTAAAAAGAGAAAGGACAGCGAAAGATCCCATATTAGGAAATTTTCAGACAGCTTGCGTCATCAGGGTTGAAGCACAAGTCTGACTGAACAAACCCTATCCAGGATCGTCTCTGCCGTCAGGTGCCACGGCTGCAGATCTAAACAGTCAAGGCAGTACCTAATGCTTCAGAAGCAATCCCGGCTTAAGTCTGTCAGTGCAACGGCCTAAAAGCAATTAGCTCGACCCGCCTCGCGACTGAAATGTATGGCACAACCAAAGCCTATGGAGGAAACGGAGCCAGACATGGCTTGGAATGACTCAGGCCTGTGAAAAAAAAAGAATAAATATGTAGCTTGCTGTGACACAAGCCCAGGAAAGAAAAGTACAGCCAAGAGAAAGGCCTTGCCATGAAATCAGCTAATAGTGTTCCGCAAGTATAGATTGGAGCGATGACCTGATTGAAGAGTAGCCAAATCCATCAAGGAAGAACACAAAATTGACAATTCTATAACCGATTCAGTTGAACCTCAGAACAGAGCCTCATTCCATCGGTATTGTTCAAATCAGAAAATAAATGGACCTAGACATTCCATTCAAGAAGTCTTTTGGAACAAAGGAAAAAGGCAGAAAGCAGAAATAGCACATTCTAGTAGAAGTTCTGTCCTCTTCCAAAAAATAAGTAAGGAACAAAAGATAAAAAAAACCCGTGTTGAGAATTTTCCAGAGACTCAAGTGGGAAAGACGAATGAAAAAATCCCTGTGCTAAGAAGAATAAAAAACTGATTCCCATAGCATGAGACATTCTCAGATATTGGATGCTAGGTACCTAGCATCCAATATCTGAGAATGTCTCATACTATGGGAATCAGTTTTTAGCAAAAACGTTTTACGAGAAACTATGTCATTTTGTTATGTGCTGTTTCACGGAGATCGAAATACTTGTCAAAAAGTATTTCCACTGCCAGTCAGTATTTTGTAAAATTTAGCGTCAAAAGGCTTTACCTCAATTGTGATGATTCTAGGTTGCAAATCTTCATACTCGACTCGGACGGCTTTAGCAGCGATTTTGGCTATCTCCCTCGTCTCCGCCAGGATTCCACCAATGACCTGGCCATCGCTAGTCACCTTGTGGAACATCACAGAATATTAACGCACTATCAATTCGCTTACAATGACAGTTCTGAATACATGTGCGAGGTTTCATTCTTCAGTTCGACGCATCTCCATCCCCCCCTTCATTTGCTAATTAATAATGTACCTTATCCCGTCGGAAGACGAACTCGTCACTAGTTTCCCCGAAGAGATTTCTTTCCCCAGGGAGATCTTCTTCTCCCACCCATCCGATGACACCCTTGATGTCAAGAGCTGGGTTTGGATCCACATGTACCAACTTTGCATGACTGCGACAGCTGTAGACGAGAACGAGATGCGCTTCATTGTCCCGTCGAGGTATGTCGTCCACGTATTGGGCTTCCCCTGTCGCCTGATGGTACGCGGACTTCGCTACCATCGGCCTCCCGACTGCGTCCCATTTTGGCTGCCCTCCTGGCACCTGCACAAAGGTCATCTCCATGTGTTCTCCATTCAAGTGTATTCTACAAAGTCGTGTTTAGTTTGAGGTAGCTCACTATTTGGAAATACTGAGAGGCCTTGGGGAAGTCTTTGTGATATGTCCC